ATTAGTGGTGAAGGATGCTTGGTCCGTGAAATTGCTGGAGTGGTGGTTGAAAGTGGGGTTGCATGAAGCCAGATTACTATCTGCCTCCCCTCCTCCCTTCCACTGTCTCTGCTTCCTGCATCCTCGTCCCCCCACCCCGCCCACTGGCTTTCTTCGACTCCCTCCCCCTGTCTTCCGCCTGTTCCCCCCCACCCCGCCCATCCCCCTTCATCCCCAGGAGCGCATGGCTGTAGTCCCCGCGTTCACTGCCTTCAGGGCGTGCCTGCCCGCCTCCCACTGCCCTCCACAGCACGCCGCGTCGCCTCCCTCCCCTCACCTCGTTCCCCTCCCCCCTGCTTTCCCTTGTGAGCCCCAGGTGCGCCTGGCCCTGGTGCCCACCTTCACTGCGTTCATGGCGAGTCTGCCCGCCTCCCACCGCCCCCAGTGCGCGCACCTGCTGCCGCGCCTGCTGTGGCGCCAGGGGGTGGCGCCCGAGGAGATGGAGGCGCAGGAGAGAGCAGCTCGGGCAGCAGCAGAGGCAGCAGAGGCAGCAGAGGCGGCAGAGGCGGCAGAGGCAGCAGAGGCAGCAGTAATGGCAGCAATGGCAGCAGCAGCAGCAGCAGCGAAGGCAGAGGCAGAGGCAGAAGCAGCAGCAGCAGCAGAGGGAGCAGAGGGAGCAGAGGGAGCAGAGGGGGCAGAGGGGGTAGTTGGAGTAGAGGGAGGAGAGGTGGGAGCGGGTTGCGCTCCAGCTGCAGTGGCAGCTGCCAGTGAAGGCGTGGAGAGTGGAGGCAGGCGACCAGAGGGGCTGGTCGTCACTCCCTTGAACCCACCTCCTGATACGGACAGCCGACGTGCAGAGGGCACTGTTGCTCAAGGCCCCACTAAAGTGGGATTCGTTATCAGTAGCGGTCTAAGCCAGGAGGCAAGTGTAGACGATGATGAGTATGTGGACAGCCCCCGGTACCCCCCTGCTAGTGCCCTCCTGGGTGCTCCTGGGGGTGCTGCTGGTGCAGATGCTGTTGGTACTGTGGATTCTGCTGGTGCTGCGGGTGCTGCTGGTGCTGTAGGTGCGGATGCTGCTGGTGTGAGCGATGGCAATGAGAGAGGGGAGAGGGCGGCTGGGACAGATGGAGAGGGGAGAATCCAGGATGGAGGAGAGGAGGGAAATGAGGGACTGCGAGGGGAGACAGGGGATCTGCACGGAGAGAACCCAGGAGCGGAGCAGCGAGGGGATGAGGGGGAGAAGAAATCAAGTGCCAAGGTGTGGGGAGAAGAGGCAGGATCAGGAGGGGTTAGCTCGGTTGTGGGGAGGAGGGAGGCAGGGGGGAGGGAGGAGAGTACTGGGCTTTGGGCGAAGCTGATGAGTGGATTGGCTGGTCTCGGGGCAGGTGGTTTGCTGGGGGAGATGGCATCTGGGGCAGGCGTGGAGGGTGTGGGAAGGGATGTGGACAGTAAGTGTGAGGGGTCGAGTGTGGGGTTGAGTGAGGGAACCAGGGAAGATAGTGTGAGTGAAGGGAGTGTGGAAGGGAAAGAGGAGGGAGAGGCGGAGGGAGCAGAAGGAGCAGAGGGGAGACTGCAGGGCAAATGGGCAGAGGTGAGAGGGGACCTTGGTGGTGAAGGTGAGGGTGCACCTGAGGGTGATTCTGGTCGGGGTGATTCTAATGAGAGTGATGCTGGCACACGAGGTGTGGCAGCAAATGGATCGCATATGGGCGATTCTGCTGGTGGTGGCTGTGCGGCTGCTCCTGCTGGCAGCCACAGGGGAGCTGCAGGAGGAGCGTGTGGGAAAGAGGGGGAAGAAAAGGGACGGGAGGGAGGAGGCAGTGAGGGAGAGGGAGGATGGAGGGATGGGGAGGATAGAGGGACTAGTGAGAAGGGGGAAGGAGTGAGGAGAATTGGGGAGCAAGGAGGCAGCAAAAAGGGGGAAGAGGGAGGAGAGAGAGAGGGGGAGGAAGGAGGCAGCAGAGAGGGGGAAGGAGGAGGGGGGAGAGAGTATGGTGTGGGTGTGGAGGCGGTGTGGGACCGTGGAGGAGAGGGGACAGGTGAAGAGCCAGGGGATATGAGCAGAGTGGCAGCAGGAGAAGGGAACAGTGAGGCGGGCAGCGAGGGGGATCCAGGGCAGGACGGAAGGGGGAGCAGTACGGAGAAGGTCGGGCATGCACTCAGCACAGCACAGGAGGGAGGGGAGCACGAGCGTCACAGTGAACGTGTTGGACAGGGAGAGCACCAACCCAGAGCCAACCAGCAAGATGGGCAGCGACATGCCAGCAACGCGGATGAGGGAGAGGGGCACCCAACTGGAACGACGCGGCAAGGGGCGGAGAACTACTCTGCCAGCAGCGGTCAAGAGGGGGCGGAGCATGGGTATCCTCCGTTAGGCCCCCGCGAGGGGGGGAGTGAGCGTGGTCCCTCCAGCAGCGGGCAGCAGTGTGGGGAGTATCGGTGCCTATCAGAGAGCTCTCAGAACGACCCCCCTGCGAGCAGTGCGCAGGAGGGCGGGGAGTATCGGCTGCAGGTGCAGGTGGGCACGCCGGCGCCCAACACTGTGCGTGTCCATGTGGCGGCTGCTGACTCGCCGAGGCCTCTGGTGCTGGGCGGCAGCAACCCGAGTGCGCAGCTGAGGACCCTGCCCAGCCGCAACCGCCTGCGGCCGCAGCTGAGGCTGCCAGGGCGGGAGAGCAGCTGGCACCTGCGACTTGCTGCACTCAGGTGAGTGGTGCTCTAGCTGGCTGGGTCAGGAACTCCTAGTGGGTGGGGATCTCATAGTGGGTGGGGATCTCATAGTGGGTGGGGATCTCATAGTGGGTGGGGATCTCATAGTGGGTGGGGATCTCATAGTGGGTGGGGATCTCATAGTGGGTGGGGATCTCATAGTGGGTGGGGATCTCATAGTGGGTGGGGATCTCATAGTGGGTGGGGATCTCATAGTGGGTGGGGATCTCATAGTGGGTGGTGATCTCATAGTGGGTGGGGAATTTTTGGCCTCTGGAAAGGAAAGCTAGGGACGACTTGCTGCCTCGTGCTCTCACCCTGCCATCTCGTGCTCTCACCCTGCCATCTCGTGTTTGCAGGTATGTTTCTAGAATCTCCCAGAAAGTCCTACGTCTTGTGCTTGTCGTCTCATGCCTGCCCAGTTCCCGTTGATGCCTTTCTTGCGCCAACATTGATACCCCTCCCTGGCATGAGAAGAATGCCAAGTCCCTGGCATTCTTATCAGTCAGTCTGTCGCCATTCGTCTCGTGTCTTCAATGTTTTCCTCCTCGCCCTATTCATTGACGTTTACCACAGCAGGCCTCGGCTACTCTCCCTATACAAGTACGCCCCCTCCTTTTCCCCCTAGCTTCTCCTCCCCCACCTGCCAGGCCCCGGGCATGGCTCAGCTGCTGCCTCCCAGCAGTGTATCCCTGCCCTCACACTTTGCCCCCTCCCCTCCCCTCCCCTCCCCATTTGTTTCCTTCCACTCCTTTCACTCCCACGCGCCCCTCCTCTCCCCCACCAGCCAAGCCTCAGACGTGGCTCAGCTGCTGCCGCCCAACAGCACCTCCCTGCCCCTCCTCGTTGACCTCGTGCTCACTCTCTGCAGGTAACAACCGGTGCAGGTGATATCTAGTTCAGGTAACATCTGGCGCAGGTACTTTTGATGCAAGCGTCAGCCAGTACACATAACACCCAGTGCAGATAGCTACCGGTGCAGGCGATAACCAGTGCACGTAACAACCGGCTTTGCTCCGCAGCTCCTGTGTGCAGGTCCTATCTAAAACCTCCTGGTTCCTACTCCCCTGCTCTCTTCCTTTATTGTGTTGTGCGGCATCCTTCAATTTTACTCCACACTACCAGGCCACAACCCCTTGCTGCTCTCCCCCTTGCGTCACACACCCTTGCTCTCCCTTCTCTTTCTCCTCCCTCCGCCAACATCCCTTGCTCTCTCCTCTCTCCTCTCCCCTCCCCTCCCCGCCCCTCGCCCCCTGTCCACAATCACCCCGCACCACCCCGCACCACCCCCCACCACCACTGCGACTCTGCCCTCCTTATTGCTGCGCCTCTTCCCCATGCCCCTTCACCATGCCCCTTCCCCATGCCCCTTCCCCATGCCTCTTCCCCATGCCCCTTCCCCATGCCCCTTCCCCATGCCCCTTCCCCATGCCCCTTCCCCATGCCCCTTCCCCATGCCCCTTCCCCATGCCTCTTCCCCATGCCCCTTCCCCATGCCCCTTCCCCATGCCCCTTCCCCATGCCCCTTCCCCATGCCCCTTCCCCATGCCCCTTCCCCATGCCCCTTCCCCATGCCTCTTCCCCATGCCCCTTCCCCATGCCCCTTCCCCATGCCTCTTCCCCATGCCCCTTCCCCATGCCCCTTCCCCATGCCCCTTCCCCATGCCCCTTCCCCATACCCCTTCCCCATGCCCCTTCCCCATGCCTCTCCCCCATGCCCCTTCCCCATGCCCCTTCCCCATGCCCCTTCCCCATGCCCCTTCCCCATGCCCCTTCCCCATGCCCCTTCCCCATGCCCCTTCCCCATGCCTCTTCCCCATGCCCCTTCCCCATGCCCCTTCCCCATGCCTCTTCCCCATGCCCCTTCCCCATGCCCCTTCCCCATGCCCCTTCCCCATGCCCCTTCCCCATACCCCTTCCCCATGCCCCTTCCCCATGCCTCTCCCCCATGCCCCTTCCCCATGTACACAGGGATCGAATTGCCACCGTGCGGGAGGAAGCAGCCAAGCAGGTGAGGGAAGAGGGGGACTGGGCGATGGGGCAGAAGGGAGGGGGGGAAGGGGGAGAAGATGGGGAAGGGCGGGTTTCTAGTGACGAATTTCACATATTCTCACCTTAAGGATTCTCACCTTAAGGATTCTCACCTTAAGGATTCTCTCAGCTTCGCCTTTCCCCTTGGTTCCTCTTTCTCCTCCCACTTCCTCCCTGCTCTCTTCCCCCTTCTCCCCTTCCTTCGCGTTTCTCTCCGCTTCGTTTACTTCCTAAGTTTCATTTGTCTCCTTCCTTTCCCACTCCCCCGCCTGTCTCCGCTCCCCTCTCATCTCTCCTCTCCTCTCTCCCTTCTCCTCTCATCTCTCCCGTTTCCTCTCATCTCTCCCCTCCGCTCTCATCTTTCCCTTTCAGGCTGCCAAGCTGCTGACCCTCACTACCTTGTCTGCTGCCACGTCAGCATCACTGCAAACAGCCACATCAGTGTCATCCGTACCTGCCACTTCGCCTTGCCACGCATCATTAACCTGCAAACCAGCATTTGCTGCCACGTCAGCAAGACAAGGGTCAGCAGAGCATGCAGACTGTGTTGACTCACGTGCATCCGCCGCGTATGAGCCTGCTGACCCCTCATCTGCCGAACCTCATTCTGCTGACTCCACATCTGCCGAACCTCGTGCGACTGACTTGTATGCTGCCGAGCCTCATGGTGGTTCGGGCTGCAGTGCAGTGTATGGGGATGGTGAAGCAAGGGGAGGCGATGGGGAGAGTGATGGTGGGGAGAGGCAGAGGAGTGGGGAGAGGCGGAGGGATGGGGAGAGCAGTGGCAACAGTCAGCAGGGAGCTCAGGAGGAGGGGGTGCACGAGAGCACAATGGCCAATGTCAGCGGCCACAGTGACCATTGCAATCACCATCGTGGTTCTGATGGTTCTGCTGATTCGCACAGCCATCGTGCTGTGAATGGGCATCATGACATGAACAGCCCTCAGCGCCACGATTGCCACCCCCCTGATCGCTATCCTGTGGACAGTGGTCAGCGGCAGCACACGCGCCATTTGCCTGCAGATGCTGCTAATACCACACACCCCCGCTCTAACTCTTCCTCTTCCTCTCACACTCTCCCTCACACTCACTCTCACTCGCATGCCCATCCTTGTCCTGCCGCTCCCTCTGCTTCCCATCCATCTGCTTTGCACACTGACTCTGACGCCTTGGCGTCTGAGGCGCTCCTATCGGCCTTGGCTCGCCTCGCCACCAGCCGCAACTTCCGAGACCGACAAACGTGACTCCCGACTCCCATTCACCTGCTTTCCCGCTCTTTCCACTCCTTTCCACTGCTTCTTCTGTTCGCCGCCCCATTCCCCGTCTCATTTCTAATCCTGCTCCGTACCCGCGTACTCCCCGTAGTCATTCCCCTTCCTCTCTTCCGCTCAATTTCTTTATTTTCTATTTCAAGGCTGGTGGCAAGGCACTTCCTCTTTGTACCACCCTGACAAACTGCAAGCTTACCCAAGTGTCCCCTCCCTTCCCATCTCAATTCTCTCCCCCTTCCGAGCCTGCCTGCAGGTTCGGCATAGCGTGTACTGAGCTGCTGGACTGCGTCGGCCCGACCCTGGCAGTGCCTTTCCCTCCCTCACCATTGCAGTCCTTCCCTCCTCCCACCAAGCACACACACCCCTCCCCACACACACTCTCCTTGTCTACTCCACACTCTCTAGCTCTCCAAAACCAGGCCAACGCACACCTCCACGCATCCTCTTTCCTCCTCTCAGCAATTCTCCCGCTTCTCCTCCCCCTGGTCTATGTAAGCCGGCTCCTATCCCGCCTTACCTCCCTCCCACTCACTCGTCAGTTTCCGTTCGCATCCAATCACCTCATCCATGGGACTGCTTCAAAGCACTTGGATGCGCATGTATTTTTTGCATGTGCAACTTGAAGCAACGTGTTGCACCGAACAACAACAAGACTTCTGTGTCCAAGCATGCGTACCTTCCGCCGATGCTCCCCTTCCTTCCTCTCACGCCCCTCCTCCTCTGCCCCCCCTCCTCTGCCCCCCCGCCACTTCCCGCCAGGACAACGTGCCAAATGTCAGAATACGAGTGGCTGAGGCTCTCTCTGCCGCCTGGCCTGCACTGGATGCCCTCAGTGTCACAGACCTGTCAAGAACAGCTGACACCGGTATGCCAGCTACATCAGCAGCAGCAGCACCACCACCACCACCACCACCGCTAGCAGTGCCACACATAGCACCAGCGGCAACCGAGCTAGGAACAAACCTAGCAGAGCAGCTTATGTCGGGGGCGCAACCGCAGCCAATACCAGAGCAGGAGCAGGTACCAGCACCGCAGGCACGGCTGGATGAGCTGCGAGTGTCAGTGGCGTCTGCTCTGTCGCTGCTGGAGGGTGATGAGGATGCTGATGTGGCATGGACTGTTGTGGCTAGAGTGGCTTCCCCACACGAGTATGGGATGGGCTAATCGCTTCTCCCAGCTTTGTCCAGCAGCCTAACACCAAACATCAACACAAGGCTTGGCTTGTCTTCCTGTCTCAGGGAATTGAACAAATCTTAGTTGCTGGATGGTAGATCGATTCAATAGTTCACTCTTACCGGTATTGCTAAATCAAGTAAAATGGTAGAATTTTCTTCCATTTGCTGCAACTCTGCTCGTCACAGGCAGGGACGCTCCCACAATGAGCATCTGAAAGTGCTGAAGAGGCACAATTCAGCTAGGGAAATTGGGCCTGGCGTTATGATGTCTACTTAGATTGGTCAAGAAAGGGTAATTGCTCAAGGATAAATGAGGGGAGAAACCGTATACAATACAAAACAGAACAATACAAGCCCAACCCAACCGAAGCACAAATCAACCCACCGAAGTACTAGTATAACCAATCAAATAATGAAGCTCTATTCTGTACATAATTGCAGGGTCTTATCGGGATTTGGGAACTCCTCTAGTTGAGGGGCTCCATTGGGAACTCCTCGACGGGGCTCAGCTGCTTGGCGCGGTGGTACGTGGTGTGTGCGCAATCCACGGCGAGAACCGAGCTCGACTCATACGACCGCGGAGTGCCGTCCAAAAACCCAACCCCCTCCTCGCTGTCAGCCGACACGGGCCTGTGCAGATTCGAAATCAGCCGCTGGAAATTCGCGGCGCGCGCCGCGTGGTCGGTGCGGTAGGTTTGTCCCAGCACACCGTGCACCTCATCGGTGTGCTCCAATTCGACAATTCCGACATTGATGTGCGCCTCGGCGTCATTGGGGGTCTGCAATTTAGGGTTGGCCACGCGCAGCCTCAAGTCAAGCGCCACAAGCCCGTCGATGCTGAGGGTGTAGTAGTCCACGTCATAGGGCCCTTCCTTCTCCAGAGCCGCAAATCGGAGGGTCAAGCCGCCCTCGGATGTCACCTCGTCGCCGACATTCATCCTGGGGATCTCCTCGCCGTCGATCTCGATCGTCTTCATGAATCCGTCGCCGCGCTCTTGCTGCTTACCGCCGCGGGCCGACAGGCGAAGCTTGTGGTCGGCGCCCTTAGCGAACCACACAATACCGAGCTCCTTGATCCACGTGTGCACGGCCTTGCCGTCCACCACGAGCGCGGCGTTCTCGGTATCGTCGCTGTAGTACCCCCTCAGCAGCATGTTCACGTGGAGGTCGCGATCGCTCAGCAGGCAGAACGCCTTGTCGGGGCGGCCATTGAAGTCGAAGTGCGTGCCGAACGCGCCCACGAGATGCGGGTCGTTGACGACGTTGGCGCGCGGGTTGCACTCGCCGCCCGTGCGCACCTGCAGATGCACGGGCTTCGTCTCCGTGGCGTATTGTGCGGTGAGCTCGCCGCACGTGTAATCAATGTCATCGTGCACGAGGTAGCACGCGCCGTCCGTCTTCTTGCCGTCGATGGTGATGTCGGGGATGTACTGCCAGTACGTGCAGCTCTTGTACGCCGCGCAAGTGTTGCAGCACGTCTGGGGAGACGCCTTCTTCAGGGTCAGCGGGTTCCCCTTCACATACATCTCAATTCCGAGCTTGTTCTTCAGCAGGTTCGAAGTCTTCCATTTCGCGGGGATGCCGCCCTTGCTGCAGTTGGCGGGCGTGCACGCGCCTTGCCCGGGCGCGCCGAGGTCCTTGTGGCACTTCATGGCGTTCCACCCGGCCTTCTTCACGTCCACCAGCAGCATGCTGTCCGTCATTGGGCTCACCACCGTCGTGCCCTCGAACTTGTCCAGATTGCCCGCCGCCGCCGCCTGCTCGATGCCCTTAGGGACCTCCGTCGCTACGCCGTTCGAGCCTAGGGCTTTGTCGAGGGGAACTGCGGGGTTGCTGGGGCCTGTGGTGACGGTTTCTGCCGAGGCGCTGACGAGGAGTAGTGCTAGGGATGCTAGGAGAAGAAGACGCGCCATAACTGGAGATGTGCTAGGCTGCGTGAGTCTCGATTCGAATGCTGAATGCGTGAAAACTAGGGTGTGTCGAGTCGAGCTCTGTTCGTGATGTAAAACTCCGATGCTGCTGCTGAGATGAATTTCTGAAGGTGTGACTCGTTGCATTTGTAGCTGTGCTGATTATGATTTGCTGGGGAGGGTAGGTTTGCATGTGGTGGAATGAGAGGGATGGACTGGGAGGGACGCGGGGGAGGCGGTGGCGAGGCGACTCGAGGCGAGGCGAGACGAGGCGAGGCGAATTTCGCCTTAGTTTGTAGGGAGCCGCAGGTCAGATCGAAGGACTGTACTGTAGCCAGAAGGTCGGAAACCTGCCGGATTGATCAAACGGAAGGCGCAGGTGCTATCTTGGTTGTTCTCCCTGGGAATTTCCATGAGAAACTGTCGTCAGTCAGAAATCTGGCCCCAACATGCGGCAAGTCCCGCTCATTGGTGGTAGAACAGTGTCAGAGCAGCTTGTCCACCCCTTACACCTGGTGTCCACAAAATGCCGTGCTCGAATCAGTCCCAATCGGCCTCCTCCTGAATACATCCAGCGCGACTCGAAAAAGTGTGTTCCAGTGTTGGGCTTCAGGTGTACGAAGTTTTATGCGTGTGTTGTGTATTACGCGAGAAAAAACAAGCCACCAGCTCAATATTTAAACAATTTTTATATTCATAACACTTGTGGTTGTACCACCACATTTTAGTAATTCCCAAATCCTGACATGGAATAAAAACATCTCGGCAACATATAGAACATTGCATAGCGAAGGTACCGGTAATCCTAGATCGAAATACAATCTTGTACACAACCAGGTAAAGCATGTTGGATGGTTGGTGTTGGTCGCTTCTCGTGAAAGCACGCTCACTGGTTGTTGGGCTGATCAACACTGGTGTGCAAAGGAAAGCTGGGAAAGCTGTACAAGCTGACTCAAATAATAACACCACAGTGGGTCAACACAAGCATCAACATTCACCAAAAAGACACACAAGACCTGTTTCCACGACAGGCTAGGAGGAGTTCACCAAGGCGGTATTCCCCTGAGCCGCTCAATCAGCAAACCGCTAGTCGCCTCTAACCATGAGCCACACGAAGAGCAGCGGCGCCATGGCCAGGATCGTCCACGGCAGCAGCTGGATCAGCATCTTCTCCTGCTTCGTCTCCACATACTTGGTCTTGGGCATGTAATTCCCAAACCCGGACAGGAACATCCTGTACATGTAGTCATCAAACAGCGACGTCTCCTTAGCTTGTTCCGAGTTGGTTCCAAAGAGCGCCTCCGTGGCGCGGCGCTTGATGTTGGGGTATGGCGCGCGGAACTGGATGAGCGACTCGTACAGGCTCTTGGCCTCGGCGTCGCGCCCCAGCTTCTCCAGGCAGGCCGCCTTCTGCAGCGTCGCCTCCCCGTGGTGGTACGTCTGCTCGCCCGCCTGCTTCAGCACCTTGTTGTAGTGCGTCATCGCCGTCTCGAAATTGCCCTGAAACGAACGGTGGAAGGGAAAGAAGATATGTATGGTTGGTGCGCCAAGTACAAGCGGGCAGCCTGCTACAACACGTTTCTGGCATTCGTCATGGCCTGAAATGATCACATGAAAGCCACGTGGCAAGCAGAGTGCCACGCACAGCGCATGTGGCCAAGGGCGGAGCCACATGTGGGAGAATAGGGCTCGGAGAATGAGGCAGTTGGTTCGTGACACTGCTTCGTGCTCGAGCAACACTGCTTTCTGGTAACTAAGCTTGTGTGAGTGAATCGTCCCAGAACATTCCTTCGCGCGCATGGGAGAGGGCGTCTGGGGTTAGACGTGTAAGTGATAGGAGGGAGTGGTTGGGGGGGAGCGAAGGGGGAGAGGGTGGAGGGGAGTATAAGCGGAGGTGGGAGAGAGAGGCCATATATTTTTGTGGTAGGTAGGCCTATAGCCCGCACTGCAAGTTTTCTGTGAGGATTGGAATCAGATAATTTCTGAAAGCTTAACTACAGTGTCAGGGAGCTCCGTACCTGGTCGAACAGCAGCGTCAGAGGGCGGTCGCACCTGGTCGAACATTATCTTTCAGAACTTGAGCTCGTGGTACAGGTGCGCTCTCGCCGCGGAGACTTCTGAGTCGACTCAAAAGTCATAAGTGCGTGTCAGGGAGCGGCGTACCTGGTCAAACAGCAGCGTTAGGGAGCGGCGTACCTGGTCCAACTGCGGTGAGAGGGAGAGGGCGTACCTGGTCGAACATCATCTTTCCGAACTTGAGCTCGTGGTCGAGATGCGCTCTGGCGGCGTCCAGCTTGAGCTTCTCCTCGCGCTCTTTCAGCTCCTTCGCGATCTTCTTCTGCGCCGCCGCCAGCAGCCGCTCCTTCTCCTCCTCGCTCACGTCGTTCTGCGTGGACACGAGGAGCGGAAGAAAGGAGGAGGGAAACGAAAGGGGGGAATGAGGGGAACGGAGACAAAAGAACGTGAGAAAATGCGAGATGGGGAACCGAATCATAGCTTTCTCCTTCTTTCTTTTTTTGTTATGGTCGTAAAAAAGGAGAGACAAGATTATCATGCGGTTCAGTTCCCACGGGCTATGAGGCACCTGAAAACATCGGGAGCGAAGAGCAAGAGGGGAAGCGCACGGAAGACATACAGGATTGACAGGCGTTTCAACTCGTGTAACATGCATTTTTCGCAGAAATCTCATGAACATACAAGGTTAACATGCGGCTCGGTTCCCATGGGCTTGCCCCTTGCGATTCCGGTCGACCTCGGGCGTGTCGCAAGCGCGTCGCCACCGCTGATGGGCCGAGATGGAGGCGAGGCTCTGAGTGGTCGGGATGCGGATGAGCTCTCCGCCTTCGCCACGACTACCGGAGCGAGCGTGCGCTGAGGTAGTATCGTTGCCGTGCACGCCATGATGGGAGCGCGCTAGTAAGGCTTCTGAGCCTGCTCGAGCCTGCTTTGCTTAGGAAGCTGGTTGAATTGCTGGTCGGTTATTGACCCTGAAGGAATCACGCTGAGGGAGGACGTGAAGGGACACGGTACGCAGAGCATAAAGTTGAATCAGCAAGCTCGAATGAAGAAATGCTTTCTTGAGGCCTGGATTCTGCCATGAAATACACCATGGCAGAGCAGGCGTGCTGGTTGGGGCTGGCAATTGAGGGAAGTAGGTGCGGTGACAGATTTTGGTTAGGCGGGCAAAGCGTGTACAATGCCGAACACTTGTTTCACGAGTCGCTTCCGGAGCATTCTGGGATCGTTTCAGATGCGAAATGGAAACGATTGGTTGCCATGTTTATTTTAGTCTGCCAGTGTAGGAAATGCAGTGGCATCCAGCGGATTGCACCTGGCGTTCAAAATTACTCACGGAGATTTTCAGTGAACAGTAGAGCGGCCTCGTGACAGATCGGAGCAGGCCAACTAAGTGGTTCGGAATGCGGTTTAGCGTCGACGTGTTTATCCCAGCAAGAAAGATCTGGCACGAATAGTTGGCACGGATTTCCATGGAACTCGGAGAAAAAGATCCTCCCAGAAGGCAGATACACGTCAGCAGTGACATGATGGCAGATGTTTCTGAATCAGCACGATGTTCCCCACACGCGGTACTTCTAGGGGGGAGGACACACCCAGAATAGTAAAACTGCATAAACTCTACATTATTGAGTCGCTTCGTCCAATTTAGGGTTAGCCTAGCAATAAACATGTACAATCTGCCGTCAATATACAAAGCTAGAAACGAAATATTACGCAGCTGGAGGCTGAACAGCATATTAGGTCTTCCCCTGGCCTGGAATCAGAGAAATGCTATTGGCGCATCCATTCCTTACAGCATCATCTCTCCTGCATGGGTCCGAGCGTGCTATTGGGCTTGCCTGGCCCATGGGCCAAGGACGATCGCGAGCCGTCCGATCACTACACGACCAAGATCGGCGGCCTACCTGTAAGCGATCCTGATACCTTCCATGCGTTGCTCGACGGAATCCGTCTCGATATCCGTCTGCCTCCGTTCAGAACCTTCTCCTGATCACCCAGCGCACCACCCATGGCTGAAAGACCCGAAAAAGGGAAACCTTTTCTACTTCCCATGGCCGCCGCTTCTGACAATGCGGGTGTCGGCGCCATGGGAAGTAGAAAAGGCCCGCCGCTTTCGCTTCGCCTACAGCCCATTTCGTCCGCTCTCCCCTCTCCCCTCTCTCCCTCCCTGCATCCGTCCCTGCGCTTCGCCCTTGCGGTCCCTGCGCTTCGCCCTTGCGGTCCCCGTACTGCCCTGAACCCGTACTGCCCTGAACCCGTGACGGCTGCCTCTAAGACTCCTCACGGCGCCCGTCCGCCGCAATCCCAGCTCTGGATACCTCCCCCAAGCTCCAGGCGCTGAACCCTGAACCCTGAGCTCGTTTCTGTTCACCTGCCGCCCCGTCCGCACGCTCCCAACTGAGATATTGCCGGCGTTGGGCTTTGCGAAAGACCCTCTTCTTGCCCCAAGCGCCCCCTCCCCTCCCCGAAACCCTGCAAAAGCCTTTCCAGATCCTTTTCTGCAAGACCTTTTCTTGTGCATGGCGAAGGACTTCCCCCCTGGGCGACCAGCCACCGTCACATGTTCTCCAATTCTCTCTCTCCTCCCCCAAACCCACCCCCCCCACTTTCCCCCCCCCCCCCCCCCCTCCCCCCCTCCCAACGCCCCCTTCACCCCCCTCACCCCCCTCACCCCCCTCAACCCCCTCACCCACCTCACCCCCCTTCCTTATTGCCTGCTTCTCCCTGCCTCCGCCTCTCGCCCGTTCATGCGTCAGGACTGGCCCCCCTGGGTGGCTCACCCACCGCCGCAGCTGCTCAAGTGCTCCCTGTGCGATGGGCCGCTCTCCCTCGTGCTGCAGGTGCGTGCGGCGTGTAGTGTAGGGCAACCAGGTGTGTGCGGCGTGTAGTGTAGGGCAACCAGGTGTGTTCTCACGGGAGATTGCTTTTCCCAGGTGTCTCTACTGCTCATCTCGCTTTATTCCTCCGCGCACTTGTCTCTTTCCGCACGTCCCTTTTGCTGCTCTTCTAGCTTTATTACTGCCATCCCTCACCTTCTCCTCCCCCCAATCCGCCTTTCCCTTTCCCCTTGACAGTCCTTTCCAGTTCCCCTTCTCCCTCCCGCCCCCCTATCCTCACGCCGCTGCTCCGCTCTCCTGTGAGCGTTTCAAGCGCCATATTTTCCTTTTCTCCTTTCCCTTTCCCTTTCCCCTTCCCTCTCCCTTTCCCTTTCACTTTCCCTTTCCCTTTCCCCTTTCCCCTTTCCCTTTCCCTTTCCCGCTCCTCAACCTGCAGGCTTATGCACCGCTCTCCCTTCCCTCAGCAGCAGATGCAGCAGCAGCAGGGGTGACACGTGGCAGCAGGCAATTGGAGGAGCGGGTTCTCTACATGTTTGCATGCGCCAATGGGGGAAAGGAGGGGGAGGAGGCTGCTTCCGCGCCAACCCCCCTTGGGGACCTCTCATCTGTGTTTGGGGACGTGGTGGTGGGGGAAAGCGCGGGGGCAGGGGGAGGGGGGATGTGGGGGAAGTGGCGGAGGAACTTGGGGGAATGGAGCTGGGGGAGGAAGGCGGAGAGCAAGAGGGGCAAGGGGAGGGGCAGCAGGAGGGGGCGCAGAAGGGGACGGGAGAGGAGCGAGGGGAAGGGAATGGGCAGCAGGAAGGGGCGACTCAAAAGTCACCTAGGATGCATTGGGTGAGGGGAGGGGAAGGAGGGGCGGCAGGAGGTGGGGGTGGAAGGAAGGGGCCGTGCGCTGCACAGGCGGAAGGGTAAGGGAAAGAGTTGGAGAAAGGTTGCTGAGGCGCATGATTGTTGCTGAGGCGCATGATTGTTGCTGAGGCGCATGATTGTTCCTGAGGGACAAAGATGCGCAGGGGGGGGGAGGAGGGGTTTGTGCATTGGAGGGTAAGGAGTGTGTTGGGGGTGGGGAGCATGGTGTGGGGAGCATGGGATAGGGGGAGAATGTTTCGAATGGGGTGTGCGTGCATCAACAGAGTGTGCATGTCGCTGCCAATGGGTGCGGGGGAAGATGCGCATACTTTTGCACGGTGGTCTTGCTTGGGCTTCGTTCTTTCCTGCATGCAGGCGCCTCTGTGTTGCGACAGGCTGTGCTACAAGCGAAAGGCGCCGCTGGTGCGGCCGCAAGCAAGAAACGCAATGTGGAGGCGTTGCTCTGGTTTTTCCCAAGCAGAAAGCTAATCAAAGCATCGTTCACCGTAGCAGCGTTCGTCAGAGCTAGTCGCATCTCATGCAGGGACGTTTACTCTCAAAGCTGAGACCTTTCCCCGTTTTTCCCGTGGCCAAGCTCTTCCTTTCCCAGTTCTCTCTCTGCTCTCGTCATTTATTCTCTCCGCCCTGCTCCCTGTGCTCTTGTTCTATCCTTCCTCACCTCCTGTTGCCCTGGTCTCTGCAGGTGGCGGATCATTCGCATGCAGCAGCTCCCCTCCCAGCAACCGCCGCCACCACCACCAGCACCAGAACCGGCACAAGCAGCAGCAGCAGCAGCAGCAGCAGCAGTGGCAGCCTCCACATGGGCAGATGCGAGTCCCTGGGATGCTGGCAGCACAGCAGCGGGAGATAACTGGGGGCTTCCAGACCCAGGCTCAGGTGCTCCAGGTGCTCTTTCAGGCGTCTTTGCCACACCAGGACAAGATGTTGGTGTGGTAGGAGGAGGGTGGGGCACCGGGACATGTGACAGTAACGAATTCGGTTCCACATTACAAGACGCGCCCCTTTCCTCACTAGACGCTCTGACAGCGTCAATCAGCGCCGCCGCTGCCAGGGCGGCTGCTAGCACTGTTGTGGAGAATCATGCAGTGGGGGGGAGGAAGGGAGGTGCAGGCAGAAAAGCATCCCCAGGCGCAGCAGCAGCAGCAGCCGCACCAGTGGCATCAAGTACGAGTGGCGCAACGCCAGCTGAGACTCTTCCTCTCCGTGTGCTGCCGTGCTTCTACCTGTTCTCCGAGGACGAGGAGGCGACCAGCAGAAGCAAGAGCAGGGGAGCAGCGGCCTCACCAGCAGCAGCAGCAGCGGCAGCAGCAGCTGAAGCATGTGGCTCCATAGACAGGGGGAACGGGCTGGCAGGGATGCAGGTGGAGGGGGGGTGGGGGAGGGCGAGGCGTGGGAGGGCGAGGGGTATGAGTATGACCAGGCGCGCACCGTGGGTCGGCCGTACCTGAGGTTCAAGAAGCGGCTCGACAAGCACCCGGAGCAGTGCGTCAGGTGCGGTTGACAGGCGTGTGTCAGGTGTGTGTCAGGTGTGTGTCAGGTGTGTGTCCGCTGCTCCTTTCCCCTCCGTCTCACAGCGCCCTCTGCCCAACGAGGTACCGCTTTAACGGCCAGCCCATCCGGCCTTGCGCCCCACGCCCGCACCTCCCACAGGCGTCCAAACACTGCTCTTGCTGCAGCACTCCCCGCGTGTGTTTACGCTGCAGCTCATGCCGCTGCCTCTCTTCCCCCCCATCTCACAACTCTCCCTGCCCAACCAACCAGATACCGCTTCACCGGCCTGCCCCTGTGGCTCTGCGCCCCAACACCCACCTCTCGGAGCCGTATGAAAACTGCTCCCTCTTCGGAGCCCCCCGCGTGTTTGAGCTGCAGCTGATGCCGCCGCTGCTCCTCTTCCCTTTTCCATCCATCCCCACTCCTCCAGGTACCGCTTCAACGGTCAGCCCATCTGGCCCATCGCCCCACCGCCGCACCTCCCACAGGCGTCCCACCACTGCTCGTTGTGCGGCGCCCCCCGCGTGTTTGAGCTGCAGCTGATGCCGCCGCTGCTCTTCTTCCTCCTGGAGGCGCTGAGAGAGCGGCAGGCGGAGGGGTCTGAGAGGAGCGGTGGGGGTGGGAAGGGGTGGAGGGCGGTGGAGTATGGGGAGCTGGGGGAGTGGGAGTGGATGACTGTTGCTGCCTTCACCTGCTCGCAGGTGAGTGTGGTGGGGGAGGCAGGGGTTGTCGGTGACGAAGTGGGGGAATGATGGAGTGAGAAAAGCAGAAAAGGAAATGGTACAGTGAACAATGATAAGAGGGAGAATGGTGGATTGGAATGGAGTGGGCTTGGCTGCGGATCAGAGCGTGCAGTGGTAGGGGTGGGAGAACGTAGACAACTGCTAACGAGTGTGTATGGTTGATTCAACTTCCTCATCTCCCCTTTTCCACACAGGCTTGCGATACAACCGATCTGGTGCACGAAAACGGGAATACTACGACACATCTGGCGCATGAGTTAGGATATGGTCCAGCATGGCTGACTGCAGAGGAAACCATTGTGGTAGTCAACGACCTGTAGATCTGGACCAGCAAACGTCAGCCCCAACACAGTTTGTCTATCATGAGACCTCCTGTAGTTGAATCCAACACCTTATGTAGACTTAGCCTATATTTTATGCGGATGCAGTCTTGCCGGTGATGTGTGACTGAACTCATACCTAGCATGCAAGCAATGTACATGAGAGATTGAATCGGAAGCGTGCATTGTGATGCCATGCCAGTCCTTCGTGTTCCAGCCTTTTATAAGAAATGGTAGACAAGACTGTTACGAACAGGCCCCCAAATTGGTTTTGGGCCTGTCTGATTCGTCAGAGTCCACTGCCTTCCCTTGGTATGGGTGTCAGAGTTACCTCCTTGAAAAAGTCTGAAAAATCAGAGTAGCCTTCGATTTTTTGTCTAACCAATCAGAGTCATAGCCAAACTTTTGTATGAGCGTTTTTTATGGTTCTTCATTAGAGAATGCACTACATTTCAATACATACACGGAATCAGTCAATATCCTGCATATCCTGCTGAGGCGCTGCCGGCATATCATCATCTACTTTATCCTTTCCCTTCCTCCTACTACTAGCCTCGGGCAGGGCGTTGCTAAGGAGCTTCCTCTTCTTATAAGCCTGCCAGATGGTGACCACCTCTTCCCAGTCGGGGTCATGCTCTAGCTGCGACATGCACATCAGATCTCCTAGCCTAGTATCCTTGAGAGCCCCCCGCAGCCAACTCTTGATGACGTTCTGGCGGGAGAACCCGCGATCGCACTCGACAGTGCTCAACGGAAGGACAGCCACCGCCACCCACAGGTTGACCAGGTTGGGGTAGCTGTCCCTCCAGTCCTGCGTCTTGAGCATGGCGCTCAGCCCCGCGTGGAATGACTTGTCCGCCTTGGGAAGCGCAGCAAGGACGGGGACGAAGTTGCGGAGCTCGCTCTGGGCTTTGCGCTTGTCTATACCTGCTCAGACAAGGGCACACAAGGAGAGGGAGAAGGGTTGGGTTATCAAAAACAGTACACAGGGTTTAGGAAAATATATGTGTCTTGTTTCAGATACATTGCCAAAGGGATACTGAAAGGAGTAGATGGTGATTCACGTGGCAGAATCTCGTCCCTGTCTTCAGCGCAGTAGATGACCACGAGCGAATTGAACCACTCGAGGCACTGCGTCCTCCGTGCCTGTCGGTCCCAGTTGGGCGGCCATGTGTCGGCGCTGAACAGGCGCGCTCCCGACAGCTGCCGCAGATCACCTAGGTGCTCGTCGAGGTTGCGGACCAGGCCCTCCGCTAGAGCCATGCACGCCACGACAATCCCATCGTGGTCGCTGGGCCCCGGGTAGTCCTCTTGGGGCTCTTCGTGCAGCTCGAAGGTGAACCGTGAAGGTCGGCCATCGGAGTCAATCCCCTCCACTGTCACCAGCTTGGACTTGCCTGGCCCGTGCTTGGCGAGGAACCGCGTCAATCGATCGTTGGGCCCGCCAGTGAAGTCGTCTCCGCAGTCCACGTAGCGGCTCTCTAGCAGCGAGGTCGTGCGGATGATCTGCGCGTGCACCGTTGTGTAATCCAGCTGGTGGGTAGGGGGGCGAGGAGAGGTAGGGCATCACAGACGGATGCGTGATTAAGGGACGAGCGGCAGAGACAAGCAATATCGACATGCATGCAAACACAAGCATTTAACATATTTACCTCCTGCTGCTGGAAGACCTTGTTGAGGACGTTCAGCAGCTCCAGCACGTCGACGAGGAACATCAGGAGGAGCCAGAAGCGGCAACTGGTGACGAGCGCGTACAGCTTCGCGTCGTACTCCTGCAGCATGACCACGATGGCTGGTAGGACCTTGACCAGGCGGATGACCGCATCTCCGCGCGACAGCCAGCGGATGTTGTGGATGCCCTGGAGCTCGAGGTTCGTCGACATGAACACCTCCTAGAGCTCCATGAACCGTTGATGCCTAGGGTTGGAGCAACCAAGCACCTCAGCGATCTCGCGAATGATGTTGTCCACCATGCTGAAGACAGGGATCTCCTCGGCAGCAGCCTTTGCCGCCAGCGCCTCTCGGCAATGGGATAAGGAGATGAGATGCAAACTAGGAAGCAAATTAGGGATTGGAATTATAAACAAAACAAAAAGCAAATATACATGACATGCACACATCAAACGGATGACGAACCGATGGGCAATGCAATGGCAAGAGACAAGGTGCGGAACGCGAAGACAAAGGCGGGCCACAAGTCCAGAGCGCGATCCCATCATGACGGCAGCGTCGTCAGTGCTTATGCCAGAGATGCGGCCGAGGTCGACGCCAATCGCCTGCAGATGGGACAACAAGAGGGCGAGAAGCGATGCCGCATCCACCTTCTCCACTGTCAACAGAGCCAGGTACTCGGTTACAAGCCGCCCTTCCCGGATGAACGTGGCAAACACGATCATGTGCTTGCCACGGCAGCGATCGGTGCTTTCGTCGAGGCTCAGGCCAATGTAGGGACTCGCCAGCAGGTGTTGGAGTTGAGCCGTCTGCAACCACGTTGCCGTCGCTTGTGTCAGCTCGCCGAAGTCGTACCTGTTATATGACATGCACAAGCCAAGTTGTTGTACGTTACATATGTAAAGACCAAACAGAGAGAAGTTCATAGTCACTGGAGTTCTCACCAGTTATAGTACTTGCCGTAGGCAGACTTCGGGAAGCCCTTGAAACTGCGCGATGAGAGGTATCGCACCAAACGAATCCATGTTTCCATGGGTTCGTTACACTTGGCGCAGAAGAAGAGGGAGTCGAGCATCGCGAGGACTCGCTCCTTCTCTTCGTCGACCGCGCGAGGATGCTTATCGATCCATTGCTGGTTCGACGCTAGTTGCAGGAGATCGTCTTGCTTGGACATGGCGAGGCGATGCTTCTGCGTCCTGGCGTGCTTCTTGAACGACTGGGTCTGCACGTCCGTTGCTCCCTTGCCCAATTTGCCGGTACGCCCTGCGGGTCCTGCATGCACTGCGCATACACTGCACTTGAAGGCCGGGAGCCCATCGTCAGTTTTCAAGAGCATGAGCCAAGGGAATCTGTCAGACCCGCGAGATTTGAAATGCTCTTGTGCCTTAGCATAGATGTCCTCGTTCGTTCTAGCAGTGGACCTACCGCTAGACGATTCTGGCGTATCCGCAGGTACAAAGGGGCTCGGCACAGGCTCAGGCGGATCCTGGCATGTCGACGTGGAGGCGTACGACAGAATCACCTGCCTGTACCGGAACCTCTTCGCCGCCGTCACCGACGGTGTGGTGCGGGCGATAGGAGCTGAAGCAGTGGGCAAGGGGCTTGCATCCGCAAACTTCTTGCCCGCTGCATCGGGAACAAGTGCATCGTCATCAGCAGGGGCAACATCACTAGGCTTCCTTTGAGGGCTACGATCTGAGGCATCCGACTGCCGCAGGAAATTTAGTGCGGCGGGACCATTGCGGAAATTCTCGGCACACCAGTACTCTTCTTCTTCTTCGTCATAATCTGCCTCGTCTACGTCCTCATCGAGGTCGGCCTGCTCCATGGCCTGCAGGCGCGGTGGGAAAACAAACGCACTGAAAGAAAACCGAGGGGCTACACGAAGCTTGGGTGAAGTTTTGCTGGAGGGGGGAGAAGCCGGGTCGTTTTCCCCGTCAGTAATGAACTGTTGGAGAAGGAGGGGGTCTGCCAGCTGCAACTCCATCGTGGCGCGCGAGATGCTGTCCATGCATGAATGAACCAGGCACTCGGCGCGTCAGCATGGGTGCGGTGCCTCGTCTGCTATGCCTCACCCAGCAAAATGCGTCTGGATTGGCGAAAACAACCGTGTTTTGATCAAGGACCAATCGGCTGCTCGGGCTATCTCTGTACTGGCGCCATTGCACAAAATTTGCCCGCCCGACAGCTCGGGCCGCGCCAGCGCAAATGTAAATCTAGCGTGATTGACGGTGACGACAGAGGTACCAGCGCAAATCTCGCAACCCTCCCTAAAATGGCGGTATTATAGGAATCAGAGTCCCCCCCCATACAAGGATGAAGCATCAGAGTACACTTGTAAAAGAAGTCTGAAAAAACAGTGTAGGTACATAAAAATTCTATGAAAAATCAGAGTAACATAGAAAAAAGAGTCTTTGGGATCAGAGTACACCCCCAAAAAAACTCTGAAAAAAGTCTGAATCAGAGTAAAAAGTCTGCAATTTGGGGGCCTGGTTACGAACGATAAGGAATTATTAACATTCCTGAAAGTGACACTCGAGTATTAACTCTTGTCGAGTTCGTATCTATGACGAACCATGAAGTGCAACGGTTGTTGACAGGGTTTCAGCTAGGATTTTAAGCGGTCTGACGTTCAGACGAAACATTTTCAGCTAGGGTTTCAAACTTTCGTCTGATCATCAGACAAAACATTTTCGCCAGTCTGGCGTTTCAGACGAAACTTTTTGCACTGTTTGACGTTTCAGACGAAACTGTCGAGAAGATAGGCTAGGTAGGAATAGGTGAAGCCATGAATATGGCGTGAGATCTAGATCTAGGAGGCAGGCGTGAAGTTTGACGAGAGAAAAGAGGACTAGGAAAGAAGAGAGAGGGATACAAGGAGGGGTGTTGTACCCTCTACAGTAATGTTCAGAAAACATCTACCAAGCCTACACTTATATAATAACTTATATAATTTAACACACCCCCTAGGCTTGGTAGTAGAAGAACCCACACACCCCCACACCCCATAACCTAGCACCCCCATTGCCATCAGCCACGACGACTCCAACAGGGCCAACCCCAAGGCCTTGGAGATGGCGACGACGGCAGTCCTGGCAGCGGCGACAGCGACGGCGACGACGGGCGTGCGGCAGCAACAGGCCTGCGGCGACGACAGCGACGACGGCGACGGCTTTGGCTTACGACGGCGGTGACGGCAGCGGCCCCCTCCCTTCCGGCGGCGTGTCCAAACTCCGCACCAGGGGAACGACCGGCGAGAGTCTAACGGCGGCTGTGGCGAAGAGGAGGGGACAGAGGAAAGGGGGAAGGGGCGGGGCTTCGGATCTTCAGCGCGGCGCCATTGCTGGCGCGGCGCTTACTGGCGAGCGGGCGGGCTGCATTTCCAGCAGCGACGCAGGTCGTGCGCGACGACAACAGGCCGACGTCACAGCCACGGCACCACGATGGCGCCATCACAGCGTGGCGTCGTCGCCGCAGCTGCTTGTCGACGCTGGGCCGACAGCACGCAGGGGCCGCCGCGGCATCTTGGAAAAGGTGCCACGGCGGCAGGCAGTAGGAAGGCCGTGACGGCGGCGAACAGGCAGAAGGCCGCGACGGCGGCAAACGGTCAGAAGGCTGCAACGGCGGCACGGTAAGGACGAGTACGCGGCGGAAGGGTGGAGAGCAGGCCCGAGAAGGGCGTCCTGCTCTGAAACCATGT